CGGATTGTTAGCTTCTAAGTCATCTGATGGGGTGAAGATTTCCATCCGTCCGCCATCAATTTCTCATGCTAAGATAACTGTATTGCCAATGTCCATCACTGAGTACCAAGCCAGCAGTCATTACCAGAGCACAAAAAGTAATGTTAGAATACAATGGTCAGGCTTTGAAGATTTTACTGGAATTGAGAAATACAAGGTATTCGTGGCATGTTATTATTGAATGGATATTTGTGTTGTTTGACAGATATTAATTAAATTTTTTGTGCTTCATTGTAGATTACTTTCTCTGACAGTAAAACGACATTAGAAGAACAAATGTCTTTCCCAAGTGGACAAGACATTCAAATAGCCAATATTTTAAATATGGATATGCCAGAGGGTCTAAAGAATATTACCATTCAAGCAATCAGTAAACTTTTACTGACCAGCGATGAAGTACTATACAATGTGACAGTCATTAATGCCAAACCAACCAAAAAGGGTATAAGAATTTTGATGAAAAAAGAAAAAATAGGGCGATTGACTGTAAAGTGATATGACTGAAAAAAGCTGCAAAAAATTTAATATCTGGCAAATATTTGCTTATTGATTTAAGATTTCTTTTGATTTCCCTGACAATGGAATGACATTGCAAGTAGTTATCATTGCTTTACTTTTCTTCACTTGTAGCAAGCGCTTTGTTGATTGTTTCATGGCATGCCGGGAACGAAGAATTTACTGTATCTTGGGATGGCATATTTATTTCCCAGTATCGTTTATACTATGAGGTTTCCGCCGGAACTGTGAAGGGAGGAAGTGACGTCCTACAATGGCAGGAGACCAAAAAAACTAGCACCACATTTCATTTACCACCAACAATAACAAATCGGTCTAAACTATCCGTCCATGTTCTTGTAAGGGCTGTAACTGCTGGAGGAACATATGAAGACATCGAGGGATTTATCGCGCTCCCAAAATAATGTGACGTTTCTTTGGTGACTACAGTTTAAACTGGATTTTCAGTAGCCGTCTTATTTAATATTAAACAATCTTTAGAATAAAAAAATACGTACATTCTTGAATTTTTGGTTTTGATATTTGAGATAGTTTGGAGTCATCATTGTTCCTAGGGATCCATTATTTATGAAATGAGTGAGTCTACCTTGCACACGAACTTACATATCCAAAAGAGTGATCTTTGTTAGTATATTGAATCGATTCAATCTTCTGTATTTTATAGACTAGGCCGCTAACGGAATTAAGTTCCAACAACCCAGAAAAAAATTGTTGTCTGCGAACATGGACTCCCTCGAATTAAAATGATTCCACGATATTCCTCTTTGAATTCAAACATTGATGGATTTTATCATCAGATCTATATTTAAATTCAATATGAATGTCATTTAGCCTATATGCTGTCATACTTCATTCCTGTGAAGGGAATTCAAAATTATTATCGGCCGCAGCGGCCGATCTATTTGTGCTTGTGTTAGAAAGTGCACATGGGGAAATGAAATGTTATTATTTTATTAGTTCATTAAAATAATTCTCAAATGATGACATGTATAAAACCATGAGTAAAATATTTTAAGAACTTGCTTTAAGCTAAGCTTTAATCGTTGTTATTATTTTTCAATTTCATTATCATTTGGCAACAGATAATTAATAATTTATGTTAAAACCTGTTTGTGTTAAATAAAAAGAATTTACAATAGGTACTCCCCATCCTGGGAGTGTGTAAGATACGAAAGGAAATCGTCGTGATTTTCCGGATAATAATGACGTGGTAAAAGTGCATGGTGAAGAAAAAAAAACAGTTGTTCAACAAGTAAAAGACTGTTTGAATTTGGTGCAGCTGCGAATGACACAAAGATTATTTTTATACATTTTGCACCGCGCCATGAAGCATAGCCTACTCTGTAGAAACCATATAGGCATTATCACTTGATAATGTGAAAACTGTATATTTATCGCGCACAAAAAAGTGCGCTCGGTTCTGGAATAATTCTTCCAAATTCTTACTTCATTTGCAAAAAAGCTAGATTTCAAAGCCAATTTCAGGCCCAGAAGGGCTATTAACAACAATTATAAGGAATGTTTTATTGTGGAAACAGTGAACAGAATATGTTAGGAACACACAGTTAGTAATATTTTGAGGTGACAGTTCTAAAATCACGGAGAAATAAATAAATATACAGTTTTTTCAATGGGTGGCACTGTAGCTCTCCGGTCTGTCAAAAAAAAAAAAAAAAAAAAATCGGAGAGCTAAAGTTCTGCAGCTAACTTGGATGGAAAACTTTAAACCAATCTTCTGAAGGAGATGGGCGAACAAGCCGAGAAAAAATGCCCAAATATCGACCCGATCAATAAATTAAATCTTAAATTAGAAAAAATGAAAAAAATTAATTTGATATATACATGTAACACAATTTGATTTACTATTTTTGGTAATATTAATGTAAACTTAAGACCCTCTCTACAATCTACACTGCACACTTAAGAGTTCTTATTCTATATACGGTATTTTTCTTCAGTTATTCTGCCCTTAGATTTAAATTCCAATAAATAGAAATTTCATTATTTTGCTCAATTTATAATAAATTCAAGTATTCCTAACATTTTAAAAGGCTAAGATAAATTAATTGATCGTGTTATTTACATGTATTTTCTCCATGAAGGTAAATAAAAGTGATTTTTGTTCACAGATATATACTGTGTTGTGTTTGATCATTTTTTCATGCCACGTACTGTACAATGTACATGTATATTGAAAATGAAATAGATAAGCCTAATATTTACATCTTTATTCAATACCTGTATAATAAAAAAACATTTTGCACAGGTGTAGAGAGGGTCCTTAAGGAAGCTCTATACAATAGAAGAAACAGCTTCTTGGACTTGGAGAAAAAGATATTATAAAAAGACCTGTGTGCATTCATTTTGTGAATTTACTATTACGTGATGTGAACAAACCTTGACGTTATGTCAACTTATTATAAGATGATGTAAAAAATGTTAATGCTGCATTACATGAAGTAAACACATTTTCCCCTGGTATTAGGGTGAACAGTTTATAGAACAATCGGATAGCCTCAAAATAGTTTTAGTACTCATACAAATATATTTTTGTCATCTTTACAAACTGGCACATTATCATTCGAATGCATTAAACGCTACATGTACCATAATCAGTATTTTCGATTCAACATTCATGAATAATTTTTTTTAAACTTAATACATTTAATTTCACCTTTCAAAACTTTTCATTAAAGATTTCGATAAATTTGACGGATACAGGCCTTTAATCATTTTATATATGGTAATGATAAAGTTGATATTTAGACACAAAACGTCCGGACTGCAGATTTATGATACACGTATACGTTCGATAAACAATGACCTTAGAATGATTTTGGGTAATTCGATCCTCGTGTCCTGAAAATCAGGATTTGAGCGATTAAAATGTCTCTGAATCCTCAAAATAATTTGTATTTACCAACGCTTTTTCTTCAAAGTTAAAAAAAGAGTTAATTATGTTATATAGGGAACATGCGCGGATCAAGAGGGGGGTCGGGGGTCGAAGAGGGGGGGGGGGAGACCCCCTGGCATTTATAGAAGCATCATATATAAACCAAACCAAAAATAACCTTTGAACCTACCAACCCCTCTCCCTTGAGAGCCCCCCCCCCCCCGAAACGCAGATCTTTGTTAAGTTGGCATGAAAAGTCATAGATATGAAGCTTTATCTAGAAGTCAACGACTACATCCCCACCCAACCCCCGCCTCTCCCAACACACACACACACACTCTCCCTAACATAAATAGTGTTTTGACGGTTGAAAAAGAAGTTAACTTTTTTGTTTGTCAAGAAATTTCTTGATTGGATTTTTTAGACTGGCCTGGGGTGGGGGGATCCCCCTGGGAAAAAAAATCTGGATCCGCACCAGGGAAGATCACATTTACCAGTGGCTGATCCAGGAAAGGGGGCGACCATTTTGGAGTCGGGGTAGGGACAAACAACCACACCAAAAACGGGCGGATCCAGGATTTTTTTTCCAGGGGGTGGGGGGGGTGTCCACCCAGTCAAAAATAAATCCAGCACAAAAATTTGTTGACAAGCAAATAAAAAAAAAGTCGTTATCTCGCACAAAACGTGAAAAACCTATTTCGTGGGGGAGGGGGGTGTTAAAAATAATGGTTGACTTTTCACTTTTATGCTTCATACCTTTTGCTTTTCATACCAATTCAATAAACACAGGTCCGCGTTTTCGAGGGTTGGTCCAAGGTCACTTTTTACTTGGTTTAGTATATATCAATTTAATAACTATGCAAATTCAAGAGGGGGCGTGGGGTCCGCACCCCCCCCCCCCTCTAGGTCGGCGCATGAAAAAAAATTAAGTATGTATTTATTTAATTTCTTCACCAATCAAGGGCCCTCTGGGGGCATATACAATTAAGGAGCAAACAATATAATCATGCATAAAAAACAGTGGCGGATTATAGGGGTTGCATCTGCCCCCCCCCCCCCCCCCGTTAAATTGTTGAAGTTAGTGTAAAACAAATTTTCGTCTAGAAAATGTCTACTCGGTATACTTAATTTTTACCCTAAAAAATCTCTAAAATCCATTACCTAGTCAAGATGTACACCAACAGTAGAATTAAAATATCGGGTTCGGTGTTCCAGAAATTCTCAGTTCTGAGCCTTTTTTTTTGTCTTCGAGTTTTTCCTTTTCAATTTCATGAAATAGGCCTATAAGAAATATATATATACCGACAACTCTTGAGTTGGAATTCTCTGTTATTTTGTGATATTCCTCCCATCGTATTAACAGTCAAAGTAGCAGTTTGATGAATTGACCAACAGATCATTGTCATCTTCAGCTGTTCAGGTATATTCTCTTTAGCATGTTTTCTGTATCCTTCTAGTCTTTAATATTTCTTAGAAATGTGTATCCAAATGAATAGTACAAGAAAAACAACTGCATAATTGACAATCATTTTTGTCAATTTAATAATTTCAGTCTGAACATTTCTGACAATGTCAGAAACGGAGGATGTGGTCACTAAAGCCCGAGCCGTCACAGATAAGTTTCAGTTTGGACCATGGAGCATTTTATCAGTTAAAAGTCACATACTGAATTCAGAGGGACCAGCCAGGGAAAGGTAACACAAGAATGATTCCACATAAGAGCAAGGCTCTTCTATTCCACAAAAAAAGAACCAAAAATTGTACATGTGATTATGTAATAGCTTGAATTTCCTGCAAGGGGTTTTGAAGCTTAACAAAACAACTTATGTTTTTTTAACAAAATATTTTGCACCATCATAAAAGCTGTGAGTTGTTGGGTAAATAACCAATATGCATTGGAATAAGATACAAATACAATGAAACAAAAAAGAGTATTCTATTATCATGGTTATTGTTTCCTTTTAATATATTTCAGCAAAAAGTTCCATTTTTCCTTTTATGTAAATGTTTTTTGTGCTTATGGCATAAATACTGTAAATAAATATGTTTATAGATGTATATAAAATTGTAGGTTTGAGTCTCAGCTAGAGCTGCCGCAAGTTCCTGAAATGATCTTTGCTGACAATGTTTTGAGGATTGTACATTCAGATGGGTACGGGATAGAGTTCAACGCTTTAGATGCTCTAAAGTGTGTGGATGCACATCATGATCCTCTCAAAGTTGCTGTGTCTCAAGCTTGGAGGGAGGCAAGGTGAATTTTACAAGCATCATTTTTTGTTGGTAAAAACTTTGTGTAAGTTGACCAATGACAAGAGTCATGGTACAGTCTCATCCAAGACTATTTGGTTTCATATGTATTTTGTTTTTCCGTACATATCATTATTTTTCCTGTTTAAACAGGGCTGACTGTGAACACATTAATGATGTAGTAAAACCATTTGATTGGACCTACACCACAGATTACAAAGGAACTCTGATAGAAAAATCAGGAAAAAATATTACTGTAAGTTTGTCCAGTGTACATACTGTGAAATCACTAATTTTCATAGGGGTTTAATTTTCGTGGTTTTCAAGGTATGAAGGGACCCAAGAACTTATGTCCACCACGAAATGCAATTTTTCACATATATTGCTATTAAACAATTCTTGAACCACGAAAAAAAATCCTCATGAACAAATATATTTTCCTCAAACTACAAAAATTTGACCCCTTGAAAATATGTGATTTTACAGTAAATTCATATTGTATTGAATAGTAAATTTAAAGTCTTTTATAACTTACTTTACTTATCCTCTCCAATGCCCCAGAGGACGTATGAGGGCCTAAAAAAGAGTTATTATGCAGGCTAAAATTGAGTCAGATGTGTAACTGCATATAGGTTTAATTTTTCAAAACAAGCAGCATTTGCCTGCCATTCAATCATATTATTTCTGTTTTGAAAAATAAGTAGTGTAATTTATTTTTTTAACACATATGGACATGGTTGTACAAACACAAAATTATAGATACATGTATTAGTTCAGTTCTTATTCCTTCTAAATAAAACAAGGTTAGGTACCACACAGCTTTGATTTAGTGGACGGTACATATTTTAGGTTACAGAAACAAGTGAAAGAATTAACTTGGAGAAACTTAAAGTCAGAGAGAAGATTTTGTTTTATGAAGACATACTGCTATTTGAAGATGAACTTGCTGATAATGGAGCATCACTTCTAAATGTCAGAATGGTAAGACAGCTACATGTTCATGTGAGGTTAAACTTAAACTGACTGAATTAAAGCTTGCATTATTAAAAGGAGATGAATATATACCAGTTTGAATTGCAACAAAGAGTCAACAATTTTAATTCCAATCACTATATCACACATGATGTATATTTTCAGTTTTTGAAAATCAAATCTCAGCTTGCCATAATTTTCAGGTGAAACTTCTTTGAAAATTGCTTTGTTTTACTGTAAATGTATTATATTTAGCGTGTACGATATTTGGCGAAAATTGAGTTTTGAACAAGTTAGTGTAGATTTAATTTAGCGCATTTCTTATCGTTCATATAAATGTATCCAAGTACAAAACATTTAGCATTGTACTTGAATTAGCGGAAGTGTCTTTCGCTAAAAAGCACTTAAAAGAAAACACAACCAAATGTAATACGTTTACAGTATCTAGATGAAAATGCTCAAATTATTCAGCAACAACGTCGTAGAAATTAAAAATAAGTATATTAAATTTTTTTTAAAAAATTGAATTTAGCATTAAGGGTTATATGGTGATGCAGCTCTCGGTGTTGATTAGATATATAACACGGATGTCTGATTTCACCTACAGTAACATGGTGTGCCGACAGGTCCTCTTTAAGTCTAGAAGATCTGTGCGATTAGCCATTACAGTCTAAAAATCAGGCCCTTCCTTCTTTCAGTGAACATGTACATGAAAGATATAGAAGTGATTAAAGGATGTATGAGGAATGAGTGCAAATCAGTAGCAGATTTGTATAACCACTTAAAAACAATTACATGTATCTATTGCGAAAAAAATCTGTGGTATTTACTTCATACCTCTTTTTCTTGATCTCGGTGGGACAGAAAAAAAAACTTTCAGATATCTGGGTCAGGGACCGTAAAACTAAGACGAGCTCACTTTTGATCTAAGTCTCAATTTTTCAAAATGATTAATAGCGGAAAAGTGAGACTAAGATCAAAAGTTAGTTTTATGGCCCCAGAGCCTGAGGATTATGAGTAAAATACTTAAGATACATGTATAAATGGTTTGGACTTCCAAATCACTTTGACATGTGGTACATGTATTTTAGATATTAATGTTTGACACACCAAAGCTCAATTCTGCCATTTTCAAGTTTTATCCCCTCATGCATGTGTATTACTGATAGTCTTGTTTTTACAATGTTGCTGCTGAAACTAAGCTGTAGTATTGTTTAAATGAATGCATCATTCATAACTTTAGATTTTATGTTTCAGAGAGTGATGCCGTCAGGTTTCTTTGTCCTGTTGAGGTTCTACATGAGAGTGGATAATGTTATGATTCGGGTTAACGACACAAGGCTGCATTACGAGGTGAAGTTCAAATTCTTCTGATCAAGTATAATTGTATACGTAAGATCTGTAAGATGATTTATATTTATTGAAGAAATTTGATTCTTGAAATACCTTTAAATGTATTTTATCTTGAAGGCTGGTAATAACTATATGCTGAGAGAATTTGTTAGTAAAGAGGACAAAGTTAGAGATATCACGGTATTTCTTTTATTTCATTTCATATTATGCCTACTAAAAATTTTATATAATGGTTCTGCACACTTAAAAAGTATTAAAAAAGGAAATAATTTCACCTTTATTTAGGTGTCACCCCATAGTCAAACTGACCCAAATGAGATAGCCAATCACCTGACACAAAGGAGGGAACTATGTGAAAAGTTAGTGTTTCCTGAGACTTCTAGTGATGATAAAAGCTAGCAGTGTTTTAGATCGCAAATTCTGTGAATAAGTGTAAAATTGAAGGAGGTC